AGCAAATTAAGATCCAAAAAGAATAGGACGATCGATTATCTTGATAATCTGGACGAGTTGTTTAGAGAAAAGGTTGTTAAGTGGTCTATTTGTATAGCACGTAAAAAAAGTGAAAACACGACTACTACATAAAGAAATACAAGCAGAGATTACTGGTAGATTAGGTTGTAAACGCCAAAAAATGGATGAAAAACAAAAAAAGAAAGTTAGAGCGTGAACTTTGTATTTTAACTGCCAGTGAAATGATGCATAAATATAAACACTTATCTGCAAAGCAACTTGAAGATTTAGATGATGTTATGTCAGAGAGAATTGTTGGCAGAAAATTTGGCCATGAGTGGTATGATGCTGACAGTTCAAAATCTGTGATTTATGATGGTAGAGTCGAAAAAGTGAAAAAGAGAAAGAATTTACACTATTTCTTACTGGAAAAAAGATGAGACAGATATGAAAGCTGTTGAATATATGATGACAAAAATACAACTTGCTGCTGATGTTATAACAGGCGAATTAATATTTTCTTAAATGGAATATAAATATTTTTTTTTATTTTAAATATTATTGATATGCTACTTTATTTTTAATTTTGATAATGTCAAGTCTATGTCAAGTAGGCAGAATATATTTAAAATATAGTTTGCATTATATATATATATATATATATATATATATATATATATATATATAAATATATGTATACATATATATATATATATACATATATATATATATATGCAATATATATATATATATAAATATATCAATATATATACATACATTTAAATCTATATAAAATATGAATATTTTATATAATATAAAATAATTTATGTTATAAAGTATTTATATATATATATATATACATATATATATATATATATATATATATATATATATATATATATATTTAAAAATAACTAAAAGAGTACCGCGAGTTTTTTAACTTGCTAATATGGTACAGCAAGTTTTGTAGCTTGCAAAAAGAGTACCGCGAGTTTTTTAACTTGCAAATATGGTACAGCAAGTTTTGTAGCTTGCAAATAGAGTACCGCGAGTTTTTTAACTTGCAAATATGGTACAGCAAGTTTTGTAGCTTGCAAATAGAGTACCGCGAGTTTTTTAACTTGCAAATATGGTACAGCAAGTTTTGTAGCTTGCAACAAGAGTACCGCGAGTTTTTTAACTTGTAATATGGTACAGCAAGTTTTGTAGCTTGCAAAAAAAGTACCGCGAGTTTTTTAACTTGCAAATATGGTACAGCAAGTTTGTAGCTTGCAAAATATTTTTGATAGACAGCTCTGGCTTACCTTCACGTGGTGTCTATTGTTAAAAATGATTTATTTAGTTTCCTTCTTGGAATTTTAAACTATATCATTTACTAAAATCAAGACTTAAATTTATTATATCTTGTATTTTGAATCTTTTTAAAATATTAGTTTTATCTTAGGCCTATTTTTAAGGGTGGATACTCCAACATGCATTTTGTAATGTGGTAAGATTAGTAATATTATGTCTATTTAAATAAACATAATTAAAAAACATTAATAAAAATTTTGTTGACATTTTTTTTAAGTTTGATTGAGAAGGGGAGGGGGCGTTGGGTGTAGCACACGCCCCTACCCGTACCAACATATAAAAAATATATGAATACTTGTTTTTCTTTTCCCATTTAAAACCATTTTTCAAAAATCTTATAAATTTTTTTTTTTTTTCAGATACGATTGGGCAGGGGGGGCATTTGGCGTGGCACATGTACCATCCCTTATGTCAACTTATACACCACTTGTATATGCTGTAAAGTAAGAAAAATTTAATTTTAACTTTTTCATACAAAATATAATCATTGTTTTTTAGGTTCAAATATTTATAAGAATGTAGCATTGCACTACGAGGGTGTTAAAACGTAACGAAGATATCCACCCTTCAATCTAAAATAGACCACTAATATTTGGAAATGAAATGGAAGCAAATTAGAACAATTTTTAGTGTGTAAAGATGACATATTTTATCAGAAAAACACTCTTTCGTGTGAAAAACTTATATTTTTTCAAGGGTACGAGGGTGTTCCGGTACCCCCTCCGCTCCCCTAGACACCACTTTCATCTATTGAGTTATAACAACTTGTAGCTTACTCTTACATCTATCTTTTGATACCAAGATATAGACATTTGGATAAGATTTGGCAAAGAAATAACAATTTTGGTAGGAAAAAAAAAATTTTGGAACCAGTTTTTTCAATAAATCCATATATCGAAATTTTGCTTCTAAAAATGCTATAACTTTTTATAGAATTGTCCGATTTTCATAACTTTTTCACCTTTAAAATATTGTATTTGAGGGCTTTGCAATGATATATATTATTAATTTAAAAAAATCAGTCCGCGTATCTACTAAAGGTATACTAGCTAAAGCTTTAAACGGTACTTTTAATAATATTATCTGTTTTAATGAAATAAAGACTGGACAATAAATAAAAGAATTAAGAAAAACTGATAGAGAAGGTTTTTTTTATTCTTATTTTGCTCCTTTAGTTAAATTTATTGAAGTATAAATTAACTTTTATTTTAAGAACTTTCATTAGAAAACTACAAGCGTTACCGAGTTACCAAGCCAGACTCGATAACGTACTGTTTTCAAAAAATTTTGCTTTAAAGGATTATGTTTAAATAAGATTAGAATAAGTTAAAAACTCGAGTATAAATTTTGATACTAAGCCACAGGTAGTTAGATAAGATTTGACAAAGTTAAAAACTAAAGTAAATATAAAGTAAATTCTGACAAAAGCTTCTTATATTCGATGAATCTAAAACACGCACAAATAAACAGTAAGGGTAAGTTTCATAGTGCTCATGAAATGAGTATATTGATTTACGTAGATTAATGTTAATGACGTACTTCTTTTTTTCTTTGTGAATTGACCGGATAAAATATATGTTGATTTAGGTAGATATTTGGACTATGTAATTCAATATTGCGCAAGTACTTATTCCTAACTTAACATAATAACACACATATATTGGATAATCACGTATGTTTACCCTAAGGTTAACTAAATACTTTTCAGTTACAGTTCAGTAAAGTATTTATTAATTGATTTAAATTGTAATTTACGTCTGATGATGTTCTGTACCAATTAGACCAAAACATCACAAAATAGAAAATTAGTACGACATAAACAGAAAAATAGAAAATTTGTAAAAATAGAAAATTAGTACGATGCTTTACGATGTTAAGTTGTTACACAGATTACGATGCTGTACGATTGTTTAGATTTAACACAGCTTATATTAATTTTTCGTGCAACAAGGCACCTCAACATAGCTCATTATTACATAAGTTATGTACTAATATAGCCAATCCGAGTAATGGAATAGTATATATAAAAACCTTGCTCGGGTTTGATCCTAAAAAATATTTTTTATATTGTAATGCGTTTCAACATGTTGAATTTTAAGTGTGTTTAAATGATTTATGATTATGTGAACGAATAATAAATGGTTTATGATTATGTTTACGGATATTTGTGTCTGCTAATGACAAACTAAACCTTGACACTATACTATTCTACTGAGAAAATTCTCTGAAATATGATATGCGTTTAACTAATAGCAAAGGTAAACGAAACAATGTTACTTTTAAGCCGAAGGTGAGGCCAAAAAAGTGATAGGATCCGCTAATAGCTCGCAATAAATACGTACTGCATCTATGAAAACAATTCTTCAAGTCGTGGTTATAAAATAAGAAATATATATGAATTTATATATATATATCTACATATATGGATGTATGAATATATATAAATATATATATATACATATATATATATATATACATATATATATATATATATATATATATATATATATATATTTATATATATATATATATATATATATATATATATAAATATATATATATATATATTTATACATATATATATATATTATATATATTTATATGTATATATATATTTAGGGGCTCATTACATGAGTAAAAATCAGCCCGGGCTAGGTTTCAGCTCACTTATCCGGGCTGAAATTTCCCCCCGCCTAACACTTTGTTTTCTTATAAATTCAAATTTAGTATTATATGATGAGGGGGATGGAATTCCCCCCGGGATCAATATCCTAGCCCGTTTTATAAAACCGAGGCAGGATTTTCAGCCCTGACAATTTCCATTATTAATGTAAAATTAAAGATGGCTGCACTAAAACCAGTAAGTGAAGAAAAGATAAAAGAAAGCGTAGAAGTTCGATTTCGTTGGGATAAAGACAATAAAATTTCAAATTTAATTCAGAGTTTATCAAATTTTAAATCTCAAATGGAATATAATAACTTGGATTTTAATGCTGACAAATCAAATCAGTACGAAAGTTGTAGAAAAGCTTTGGCTAACATTTACTGTCATGAGCCAAGTTGGTTTGGGCCTGTTTGTCCTAATGACAATATCTTATCCGAACAAAATAAAATTGATATAACTCTTATTAAAAGAGGTTATACTAGAGTTCAAGAAAAAATCAAAGAAATTCGTCAGAATTTTTCATTAGCTGTAACATCAGGTCGAATGAGTGGAAGTGGAAAAATAGTACTTGAATTTTATGATCATCTAGTTCAAATATGGGGTGGATCTCCATCTATAGAACCGTTATTTTTTGGGAAATCAACGTATGATGTTAATAAGGAAATTATGGATAATAACAAAAGTGTAGAAAATTTAACATGTAGCACTGAAGACACCACAGTTAAAAATACAGATAATGTAAATCTATGTTCAAGTTCTTGCAGTATTGAGGACAATAGTGTAGTTGATTTTTCTTTATTGTTACAGAGTCCAGAAACTTCATCTGTTGATAGTAATATATCTCAACTAAAAAAAAGAAACGTAAAAATGACAATAATGAAATTGTTCCAAAATTTATTGACAATAAGCGACGACACATGCAGAGACAATTGAGTGCATCACAAAGAGATCAAATTTTGTTGAATGAAGCATAAGAAGATGATCAATTTAAAAGAGATATCGCTGAAGCCATAAGACATTCTAATGAAACATTCTCAGCATCAATCGAGCGAATGTCAGAATCTATTTTACAGGTTGCCCAGGGACTTTCTAGATCAATGGAATTATTTTTTCAGGGAATGAAAACTAATCAACAATAATTAAGGTGTATATTAAAATTAGTACATTTTATAGTAACTTTAATGATTGCAATATAATGGACTTGTTTTTATTGCTTATGAATATTTTTTTTCTTGTAAAACTTTATTTCGTTTGTTGTTAAATTTAAATTATTTTCTTACTAATAGTTATAACAAGTTTGTAATGAAACACAACAATTACAATAATTTAGCAAAATACAATAATTTAACCATAAAAAAGGATTTCACATTTTCCTTAGTTTTTTTATATATAAGCTTTTTATATTTTTAGTCCCTGAATAAATTTTCTGATATATATTTTGTTATAGTTTTGCGTATATATTCACCTTCAGGATTATTAGCAGAGTAAATACTGTCAGGGAGGTTTGGGCTTTTCAATGCATCACTTCGATGTCTTTCAATTTGCTGATTAACCTCCTCTTCATTTAGGTCATAGGTTTTGTTTTTTTCACAAAAGTTATGAAGAACAAAACAAGTATAAATAACAATAGGAATTGTTTCTATTTTTATATCAATGATTTTTCTTAAAAATCCCCACCTTGCTTTTAATCTGCCAAAAGCACATTCAATCTGGTTCCTAGCAGAGCGTAACATGCTGTTAAATATGACTTCTTCGTTATTTGAACAACTTTGAAACTCTTTTATGCAAAAGTTTGTTAATGGATAGGTTGGGTCTCCAATCAAATAGTTAGGAATTGAATGGTAATTAGGTAAACTGTACAATGTTTGAGGTAGTGTGCCTTTTATTAATTTTTTGTTGATAGTGGAATTTGTAAACATCTTTGCATCATGTACAGATCCTGGCCATTTGCATTCAACATCAATAAAATATCCTTTGCTATCGCATACCGCTTGTACATTTAATGAAAAATATTGCTTATAACAAAAGTAGTCTTGACCGTTTTTAATAGGACGTTTAATTTGGACATGAGTGCCATCAATACATCCAAATGCTTGTATCATGCCGAACTTTACTTCAAACTGTGAAGCTAATTTGGTCATATCCTCTTTATTTTTAGGTAGATGTAAATATATAGGACCAACGATATTATTTATGGCATCACATACAACTTTTACAGTTTTTGAAACAGTACATTGATGAATGCCGAAAACATTGGCTGTCATCCAAAGGGAACCAGTATCCTTTAAATAATAAATGGTTATTGCTAGTTTTTTGTGTGTAGTTAAAAAACGATAATTTGGACAGTTAGATTGAGGACTTACAACAGTATCTATAATAGCAGCAAGCTCTAGAAAACATCCCTTTGTCATTCGGAAATTTCTTTTCCAGCAAGTTTCAGGGACATCTGGTCCAATCATATTTTGCCACCATAAATCAGTTCTCCCCTTTTCTACCCATAAACTTCTAGATTTTATGTTCAAAAGTCTTTGTCTAGCAAGTTTCTTCTTACGTTGTAAGTTATTTTTTCGTGTGCATAAATAAGCACCAAGGGCAATATTTCGTTTGCTTTCTAATAGTTTGTATGTAATTACTAAACCATTAAGTTGCAATATAAGTGCTGTAAGTAGACTGCACTGTTGAATTATAAATAAGACTTTTTGTACAATATTATTATTTTCACGAATAGACATTTTACATAAAAAAATTTCAACCCGGCCGAGATGAAATTTGAAAATTGAAAATTGCAGCGGGATGAAAACGTCAATGTAATAGTAAACAATTTTCAACCCAGCACCGAGCTGAACTTTCATCCCGGGTTGAATTCACCTCATGTAATGAGCCCCTTATATACATATATATATATATATATATATATATATATATATATATATATATATATATATATATATATATATATATATATATATATATAGGCGCTTCTCGACTTTCTCCCCCCCCCCCCCTGTTTTTATGATTGATTTTTATAGAGTATATTATACTGATTGTAAATCATATAAAAACATAGGTCTGAAAACTTGAGAAAAGTACTCTAAACTGATGTTAAAGTATAAAAATCCACATTAAAAACGCTAATATTAGCCATCTTTGTCATACTCGGTTATAATAAAAAGAATTTAATCAATAAAAACTTTGAAAAACCCTGGTTTCTATCGACGCTTCAATTTAAAACGCATTTTTTATTGATTTCCTGCCCCAACCAAACCCTGATTAAAAACATGTAATTTAATTGCGCCAATTCCTATTTGTCAGTAGATATGTACATTTATTTACGCCAATTCCTATTTGTCAGTCGATGTATGTATATTTAATCGCGCCAATTCCTATTCGTCAGTGATACATGTACATTTAGTTGCGCCAATTCCTATTTGTCAGTCGATGCATGTACATTTAGTTGCGCCAATTCCTATATGTCAGTCGATGTATGTACATAATAAAATATAAAAACAACAATAAAAACCGGGTCGTTAGTTAAAAAATTAATTACCTAAATTTTAAAAACAGTTTTAAAATGTTTTTAAAAAGATGGTGGAATATTAGCGTTTTTTAATGTGGATTTTTATACTTTAACATCAGTTTAGAGTACTTTCCTCAAGTTTTCAGACCTATGTTTTTATATGATTTAGAATCAGTATAATATACTCTATAAAAATCAATCATAAAAACAGGGGGGGGAGAAAGTCGAGTAGCGCCTATATATATCTATATATATATATATATATATATATATATATATATATATATATATATATATATATATATATATATATATATATATATATATATATATATATATATATATATATATATATATATATATATATATATGTATATATATATATATATATATATATTTATACATATATATTTATACATATATAAAATAATAATACTATTAATATAGTTATATATAGGTTTTTATTACTTAACATTGTTTATAAGTTATATATAAGTTTCAATCAATCATTTATATTCTGAAAATAAATTCTCACAAATAGTATTGGAATACTAATCTCAAGTAAATACCCTAAAAAATAATTTATATACATACAAATAATCTTAAAAACTATACTAAAATATGTAAATATAACAATTATAGGCTTAAGTACCTTACTAGTTATAGTTATAGATATCTAAAGATAATGGTTAACAAAATTTTAGAAACTATAATTGAATATTAAAAATATTTTAAATAAGAGTTGTTTTCAATTATTTAACACTGTGAAATATGTATAAATAAACGCAAAGTATCGCATTACTAAAATTGAATAAGAAGAATAATAAAGAAAAGTAAAAAAAAAAGTAAAAGCAATAAAAAATTTTAAGACTTTTTTATAATTTAATCGAGTTAAAAAAAATTATTTAAAAATTTTCACATTTTATTTCTTAACTGATGCATGTTTAAATTTTTGATAAATTTATAATAATTAATTTAGTGCAAACAAATTTTAATTCGGAGGAGCTTTTTACTATGATAAAAAGTCAAAGGAAAATCGAAAAAAGGATTTTATAATTATATATAAACAAACCAAATATAAGGTTAACTTTTTTAAATATGTATATTTTTTCGTCAAAAGCTACATGATTTATTTTCATGTTTACGGTGGAGAACTCCAAAACATCTAAAAAATTATAGACATTAAGTTTCCAAATCCCCCACTACTGTCCCCTCTCCACCGGTCATTTCCTCTGCAGTAAATACTTCGTGCCCCAGCACTAAGGTTTCGGGGCGCATCGGTCCATCTTAAACCCGGGGAATAACTACCTCTATTATTTACCTAACGCAGATACGATTTGTAGGAGTAAGTCCCGTGGTGCTGGGACCTATTTTCTTAATATGCCGCATATGTTAAGTCTAAAAGTAAAGCAGAAATACATATTTAGAAAGAAAATTTATATTAAACCAACGATACACAAATAACAAGAAAATGTCATCTTTATGCCATTATTTACGTTTGGCTTATTAATAAAATGAATATCAATTCCAAAAGTTAAATCTAATTAATATATTAACAAAATCTCTTAAAAAACACTAAAGTAGCCAAAAGTAACAATTTAGAATAAACACCTCGACATTGGTATGTAATTTATAGTAATTTTTGATAATGAAAACACTGCTGACTTACCAGACACATCAGGTGTTGTTTACACTAAAGATTACTAAGAAAAGTGTTACCAATTAAAAAATAATGACAAAGTTTTAAAAGTTATAAGTTTCCAGCAATAGTACACGCGAGGGTTCTAAATGTTAAAAAAACGAAATGTTACAATCAAATGAAGTCCTTAAAATTGGTACATAAAGTTATTGCACATACGAGAATACCAGCAGAAGCCAATGCAGATGGCTCTTAACATTATAAAATAAAAAGTATTATAAAGAATTTAAAATAATTAAAATTTGTACATAATTGATAATCATTTTTATCATCTTATAATTAACGAAATTACAGCAGAAGATAACACTAGCTAGATATCGAAGGCATCATAAGCAAATATGGGATCACGAATGCCTCTTAAAGTAAAAGATGATTAACTTGCTTTTGGAAATTGGCCATGTATAGAATTTTGATGTCTAGCACGGGTTTGAGCTGCTAATTGCTTGTATTTATATAAATGTATATATATGTATATATTTATATATATATATATTTATATACATATATATATATATATATATATATATATATATATATATATATATATATATATATATATATATACATATATTTATATTTGTATTTAAATATATATATATATATATATATATACATATATATATATATATATATATATATATATACTATATATATATATATATATATATATATATATATATATTTATATATATATATATATGTATATATATATATATATATATATATATATATATATATATGTATATATACATATATATATATATATATATATATATATATATATATATATATATATATATATATATATATATATATATATATATATATATATATATATATATATATATATATATATATATATATATATATACCCAGCCAACCAACATATATGGGTGCCGTATGGGATTTGTCCGTTAATCTGGTATGGGATTCATTAGGGCTTTTTGCGTGGGATTTATCTGGGACCCGTATCGAAAATAAATGAATAAATGATATCGAGGCAGATTTAAACAATTTAAATCGAAATGGTTTGGCACACAATGCGCCTAAACGTATTTTTTCATTTGTTGTATTTTGTTTAAATTTATGAAGTTCATAAAAGCTTATGCAGTTATTCATGATTTCATTAATTCAATTTAATTTAAAAAAAAAACCGTGCCAGACATCACAACTGCTTAATTTCATTAAGCAGTTTTGATGTCTAGCACGGGTTTCAGCTGTTAATTGCTTGTATATATATATATATATATATATATATATATATATATATATATATATATTTATATATGTATATATATATATATATATATATATATATAATATATATATACCCAGTCAACCAACATATATGGGTACCGTATGGGATTTGTCCGGTAATCTGGTATGGCATTCATAAAGGCTTTTTTCGTGGGATCTATCTGGGACCCGTATGGAAAATAAATGAATAATTGATATCGAGGCAGATTTAAACAATTTAAAGCAAAATGGTTCGGCTCACAATGCGCCTAAACGTATTTTTCTATTTGTTGTATTTTGTTGAAATTTATGAAGTCCATAAAAGCTTATGCAGTTATTCATGATTTCATTAATTCTTTTCTTTTTTATTTTTAAATATTTTGCTAAAAATATATTTTTGGTATCAAAAAATATATATTATATTAAATATAAAATAATATTTGGAATCAAATCTCATAATATGAATACGCTAATTTATTTTAAAGCAGTGTCTAGGCTTTTCTATACACGGTTTTTTTTTTTTTAATTTTATTTACTAACAACGCGTATTACGGGTTGCTTACTGCTAGTATATATTATTAGAGTATATATTTAATATCAAATATATAATAATATATATATAAATATATATAATTATATATTATATTGGAGTGTTTGTTTTGTTTTAATAGAAGTTTTAAACTATCAATGCAATTTAATTTTGATAACTATTATTTAATAACAATATAAAATTAATATGATAACGTTAGTCTATTTATTCAGTATTCAGGAAACTGTAGATACCTAAAAATAAATACATTTAAACCAAATATAGGTTGGTTTTTAAATATTTGTATATATAAAATAGTATATATAAATAGTTTAAAAGTAATATTTATATACTATTGATAAATCAAGTATACTATATTCTATGAGCATTTAAAGGTGTTAAATGATTAGCATGTTGTGCAGATTTACTATTAAATCTGAACAACATGCCAATCATTTAACACAGTTTTAGCCCAGCTAAGATAATTTTTTTTTAAAGCATTCACGTTTCATAATATATTGTAAAACAAAAATATATTTACTACATATTAATATTTAGTAAATATATATTTTTCAGTTTACCCAGTTTCAGATTTCAATGATTTTAAAAGTATGACCCACCTTTGCTTTATAAATCAGGAATTTAACTTTTTCAATATGAGTAATCCCTCGAGATAAAAAAAAATTATAAAACAAATTTCCCATAACTTTCATAATTTATTATTCACATATAGTAGCACCATAAAAAAAAATGTGAAAGTTTAATTTACCCTTTTGTGTATTTAGCTATAATTTTTTTCATTTAGAAATTTAGATCTAAAGTTTAGTAATTTCATAGTTTATTTATTTGGAATGCATCATTTTTATTCAAAACGTACAAAATACCGAAAGATAGCTGCTGTGGTTGCAGAAATATTGAGTAGTGCATGTGTGAATACACCTAACTTGCATGTATCAACCTCACATATTTCTCAAGCGAATAATGATTATTTGCCTATAAATATGGTAAAAATGTCAGGTTCAACTGATCTAATTAGTTTACCAATATCTGATGTGACAAGTTCTAATGATAACCTCAATAGTCAGTTTGATGATTTATATAATAATGAAAAATGGAATGACTTTCCGGAATTTGCTTCTCGAATTAACTATGACAGTGATGATGATGACAGTGATGGGGAGAATAATGATTTTACTGAACTCAGTGAAAGTAAAACTTTAAAGGATAAGTTAGTATCTTGGGCAGTAAAATTTAACATTTCCCAGGCAGCATGAAGCAATTTGCTTGGTTTTTTTGAACAAGCTTCATCCTGATTTGCCAAAATATGCAAGATTGTTGCTTAGTACTGCTAGAAATATTAACATTCAAGATGTTGCTGGTGGGGAATATTTCTATTTTAGCCTAGAGTATTGGCTTTTTATTTTTACTGAAAAGTATCCTCTCAACAATGATATAAATTAATTAGATTTGCATATTAATATAGACGGTTTGCCAATTTTTAAAAGCTCAACAAATAGTTTGTGGCCTATACTTTGCTAGGTTAAAAATTCTGGATGGTGTCCATTTCCAATCGCGCTATATTTTAGTAAAAGAAAACTAACTTCTCTTGATAATTATATGGAAGATTTCGTTTCAGAAATGATTATACTAGAGAAGACAGGGTTTACAAAAAGTGACTAATGTTACTCTATGAAATTAAAAGCAGTTATTTGTGATTCACCAGCACGAGCTTTTATAAAGTGCATCAAACCTCGCAACGCTTATAATTTCTGTGAAAGGTGTGTTCAAACTGGAGAATGGCTCGAAAAAGTTGTTATGCCTAATCTATTTGCTGTTTTGAAAACTGACAGTGATTTCCGAAATATAAAAGACCCTGATCATCATAGTATCTCGTTCATATCTTTTTTACGTTTAAATATCGGCTTAGTCAGTGGATTTCCTCTAGATTATATGCATATCTAGTGTGTTTAGGAGTTGGATGAAGACTTATAAATTAATGGATACACGGCTTGTCTGTTCATAGGTTATCAAGGGTAGCAATTGTATATTTGATATCGGATAAATTGTATACTTATCGGATAAATTGTATACTCCTCTAGAATTTGCACGAAAGCCTAGATCACTCTCTAAATATAAACATTGGAAGGCTACTGAACTTAAGCTATTTCTTTTATATTCTGGTGTGGTTGTTTTAAAAGGCATTTTGCCTAAAGAATTGTATATTAAGTTTCTGGGTCTGTCAGTAGCTATTAGAATACTTATCAGCCCATCTTTATGTAACATCTATTTAAAATATTCAGAACAACTGTTAAAGTATTTTGTGTAAAATTTTTGCATGTTATATGGAAATGACCAGTGTGTATAATATGATATCCATTCACTGTCCAATATCCATATAATATAATATCCATATCCATATAATATCCATATAATATAATATCCATTCCACCAATATCCATATAATATCCACCAATATCCATATAATCCACCATAACATCCACCAATATCCGTATAATATAATATCCATTCACTGATACACTTGATAGATGATGTTCGGAGATTTGGAGCGCTAGACAAAGTATCATCGTTTCCTTTTGAAAGTTATTTAGGAAGACTTAAGAAGTTAATCCGTAGTCCACAGTCCCCTGTTGCACAAATTGTATGGAGATTATCAGAGGGTAACTTAAAATACTCTGAAACAAATGTTGCTGATTCCACTTCTAAATTAATAAAAAAACATTTCCATGGTCCAGTTCCATTGCCATTGCGTCACCTCTCACAATTAAAACAATATTTTGGTTCTCAGTTTTTAGTTTGCAATGGAAATGAAAACAACTGCTTTGCAATTCACAACAAAGTTTGTTTAGTTAAAAATATTCTTGCCAGAAATGATTCAGATGACTCTGATGCTTTTGTTGTTTATGATGAGTTTGATCGTAAAGAGCCATTTTTTACAGATCCATTTGACTCATCTTTACTGTCTATTTTCTACGTCGAAAAATTTTCAAACCTTGTAAAAATTTATTTGTTGAGAAAATTAAGAACTAAATATTTTCTGCTGCCACATAAAAATGGGTTTGTTGTAATCCCTCAGATGCACTTTTCCTAAAGTTAATATATTTGATGAAATCTTGGTTTACAATTACAAATGTCTTATGTATTAATTTAAACAGTTTTACATTTATATAGTATTTAATAATAATCATGTTCTATTTACTATTATTACATTTGCAATTGCATATTTTATTTTATTGTTTTTGTGAATAATGTGCTTCTCTTTTTCTATTTTCAAGTTATCTGCTTCTTTTTTCTTTTTTTTTTGAAATAGTTTAAATTAATTAAACAAAAATTTTTTTTTTAAGTTTTTATTACTAAGTTTACTTTTAGTTTACTTTTCAAACTTTACTTTTAAATGTTTACTTTTAAAAACTATTATTATAAAATTAGTATTAAATAAAAAATACATAGTTACTATATTATAGTATAATAAAAAGTTTTAAAACATTTCTTATGTCATAAGTTATAAAACATTTATTTAGTATTTAAATATGTTTGCAATTGCTGCTTTTGAAAACACTTGCGAAACAGATTATGTTCCGTTGAAATCGCTTGAGGGAGTGGATGCTTATAATATCCAGTTAATGATTACAAATCATACATCAGTAAAATGCCATTGGCCACCATTCAAAAATCCAAACACTGTCTCTAAAGCAAAAAATAACAGCCATGATGCAGAGATAAATTGGCCGATATATAAGGCATGAGTGCTGGGATTAGCTGGTAAATTTATTTTGCATATTATTTATTTTCTGAATTTATGTGACTTTTTTTTTTTACCCGTTTTAATTTGGATACAAATTTTTAGACTGTTTGAACAATGCTAGTTAAAAAGCAAAAATGTCAGAAGACACATCCAGTTTAGAAAATGTATTTGAAGAGAGAATAGAAGAAATTCCAGGATTTTTCAAGAAAAACAAAAGAAGACGGTAGGCATTTAATGACGTTTTTGTTTCGTAAAAATTTTGCTTCGTAATTTTACTTAAATAATTAAATTTATTACTTCAAAATTTCGATAAGTCTTTTATTATTATTTATTTTCAAACATATTTACTACCAACAAGGCTGCAACAACCACGAGTTGGAAGTTACTGGAAGTGGAAAGACTAGGGTTAGAGCAAGATAACGATTAATAGGCGACTTAAAAGATTGCAAACTATATGAATCAGGAAAAAAAGAGGAAGTGGTCGAATTTCAAAGACCTGTTTGAGGGGGAAAACTAGTGGAAAAATAATTTTTTTAGCACTTAGGAACAGTCTCAGTGAAATGATGACACTTGATTAAATGACGCGTAACACAATAATGAATTTTAGTAGTTAGCACAAGAGAAACTAGCTCTTGAAATTGAATTAGAAAATTGAAGAAAGCAAACTCTAATTCAAAAATATCTTCTTTAGTTGTGGGTAAAATGAAAGGAACTGATAAATCATGTATGGTAATAAATTTAGTAGTATCATAACACATATTCTCCTGATCTGGAGAGCAGGGTAATGCCAAGAAGGGCGTCTAGCTGCAAATTTACTTTGACTCCATTTCATATTTAAATAAAGAATGGTTTGTAAATGGCCCATGGCAGACACAGCTAATGACCTTCTCTTTATATTTATAACTGTGTTTATATTATCAAGTATGAGTCTAGTAGTCAAATATGTATTATGTAAGTATTATATTATGTATTATAGTCTATTATGTATGTATATTTTACTATAATATTTATATAATGATATTATAATATTTGTTTATTTAAATATGTAGACAATTATCTTACAAATACAATACAAATGCACACAATATTATAATTATATACACATTAAATAATTATGTATTGAAGTTAATAATTTATTAAAGACGCGCTTAAATTTTTTTTTTTTTTTGAAGTCTTAAATTTTTGTTATTTTTATATTGCTTATTTTAGAAAGACAAAGATCAGTTACGAGAGAAAAACAGAAAATGAGGAATTTGAAAATGATCAATTGTGTAGTGTAGAACCAAAGTAATTTTTTTTTTTACAAAATTACTTTATTTGAATTTTATAGAAATTTATGTTATATTTATTTTACCTTTAGACATATTCAAGATTATTTTGTATTTTAAAAGAAAGAAGATGTTGATAAATTCTGCTCTTGTTCAAAAGCCACAGCAAGCCTGCAAGCTCCCATCAAACAACAAATCCAGAGTTGGCGATCAGTTGCAACAGTGAGTTTCATTATTTGCGTTTACACCAGGATTTATTTATATATACATGGTGGCCACAGTCCTGGAGTGTCCTGGATTTTTATAAGTGTCCTGGAATGTCCTGAATGTATTATTTAAGTGTCCTGGAAAATTTTTTTCAAAAATGTCTTGCAATGTCCTTGAAAGTTTTTTTTAACCAAATGAAATTAAAAAATGAAATAATATTCAAGTAAAATTAAATATTTTAACACTATAAAAAAATTAATTTTAATGTTTTTGAATAAATTTTAACAAGATAGAATTATCTGCTATTTAGTATGTATTATTTAATTTTGGTTGACTTTTGCTGTGTTTGAGTGAGGGTGACATGTTTAAAGGAAATGTTTTAAACCTGACTTTACATGATTAAGAATGACGATTATGTCTTTTTCATTGCATGTCATTTTTTTGGGCAAAACATATATCAGGCATTGGTGGTGAGGATCTACGAAATTTTGTCATGAGAGCGATGCCAGTTTTACTAGATGGTCAGCTTGCTCGTCAATTCAATTTGACAGGGCAGAAGGGGAAAAAATCGTTTAAAGCACTATTGCTTTGTCAAGTTTTTTTGAGTAATAATTTTTTTACTTTAGTAATATTACTAAAGTAAGTTTTTTTAATACAGTGTAGTTTTAGTGCAATTATAGGCGCTGTGAAACTAAACCCAAATACTAATCAATGCAATAATAAAGATATTGAAATTGACTTATCAAAATGGTTTTCAAACGCAAGAGATCGTGGTACTGACGGTCGCCGGTATTCAATTACGAAAGCTACAACGACTGCTCCCAGTTCAGATTAATGGACAAAAAAAACATTAAACGTCTTTCAAAAATTGTTTTATTTACTCAGTTTTTTAAATAAAGAACAAAATTCACCAAAATCGGTTTATAAAGTCTTTCAAATATCCTGCTAAATTGCGAAACTAACATTTTTAATATTAACAATTTACTTATATCCGTTCGTAGAGAAAAATAAACCAGAAAACTTACGGGACCGTCGTGGGCATTCCTGTAAAATATCGAATATGGGACCCTTATGGGCATCACATAACGCAAACGTGTATAATACCAGATAGCCTATATGGGAACCATAAGGGCAAATAAACGGTAAATATATGGGACCCTTATGGGCATCCCAGGGGGCAACTTTTCTGGTTCCCAGATGGGACCCCGGGACAACTCCCGCTGGGATCCCTTAGGGATACCCGTAAGGGTCCCTTATGTACGTTCGTATGGGTCCCTTATGGGACCCATTCTTTTTGGTTGGTTGAGTATATATATATATATATATATATATATATATATATATATATATATATATATATATATATATATATATATATATATGTATACATGTATATATATATATATATATATATATATATATATATATATATGTATACATGTATATATATATATATATATATATATATATATATATATATATATATATATATATATATATATATATATATATATATATATAACCACTTAAGAAAATTAATATTATTTTTAAATAAAATTAATTAATTTTTCTTCTAAAGATAACAAAATATTTTTTTTTTTTTACACATTAAATAAAACATAAGAAAAAAGAAATTTTTTGTTTTTTGAAAATTCATTAATATAAAACCTATAAAAATAAGGGTTAAATATTATTTATTAATTTTTTTCAATATTTTTTTTGTTGAAAAGTTAAGAACCACAACAAATTTTAACTTTTTCACAAGTGCTAAATGCGGTGGAAACGGCTTTTTTAATTAATTTTTTTTAATTGAGTATTTTATAAATGAACTGAGTCATTATCAAGAAACCAAAAGTAATTAAAAAAAAATTTTTAATACTTATTTCAAACAAAAAAATACTCTCTTCTCTTGAAAAAATGAGCAGAAAAACTATTACCTATGATGTATCTATAGATGGGAAGATACCTATGATGTATTATGCTATACTATATATATTGTGGAATACTATATATATACCTATGATGTATTACCTATGACCTATCATGTAAAGTAATGCATTATCACCAAAAAGGTAAAACCGCTCGTGAAATTGAAAAATAATAAAACGATCACATAGTTTGGTGCTAATAATCATTTTAAGATTCAGAGAGATAAAATCTAACGTTTATCGCCATTTTTCTGGAAGACCGCGTTTGACGACGCCCAATGATGATCGCCTTTTAATCAGGTTGGTCAAAGAAAAATCGAACTATGTCGTCGCAGGAATTAAGAAGGGAATGTAAGGCTTTCAAATGGATGACAAGCATCGGCATCGCTTGTGCGTAGAAAACTAATAATGCTATGGAAAAAAGCTGTTCTAAAACCGAGACTTAACAAACAACACATAAAAAAGCGAAAAGAATTTTGCCAAAGTGTCAAAGAATGGTCTAAAGAAAAATGAAAGACAGTAATGTTTAGTGATGACATGAATATAGAGGTTGATAACCGAATAAACCGAATTATGATTCGCACGCAGCCTTCCGAAAAAAATAGTTTTGATTGTATCGTTCTAAGAACAAAACAAGGTAGCGGGTCGGTTGGAATATGTTGCTGCATGAAATATTATGGTCTTGCTGCATGAAATATTATGGTCTTGGTATGTTTAAATTATTTGATAGTCGACTCGACTTTATTTATTACGCCGATATTTTAAATAACAACTTGTTACCATCAATTGATGCACTTGAGCAAAGCGTACCGTTCATTTTTCAGCAAGACAATGCACCATGCCACAGGGTTAAAATTTTCTCTGAATGGTTCGAAAGCAAAAATATTTTGCGTCTAACTTGGCCAACAAATAATTCAAATCCAAATTGCATTGAAAATCCTTGCTTGATAAACAGATTGCCACGAAAGTACCAAGGAGCCCCGAGGAATTGCGCAATATTTTACCAACAATACTTAGAAATTTTCCCAAACATATTTTAGAGAATTTAAAAGACTATTGCCAAATCGTTTAAATGAATGCCTAATAATTCATAGTAAAATTACGCGGTATTAGGTAAAAATTATCGTTTTTTGTTCTGTGGTTTTTAAATTTTTCACAATTTTTTTAAATTAAAAATTACCTACAAAACTTTAAATACATTTTTTTCATTTGTTTAAAAGTCTAAGGCATTATTATTATTTTTATTTTGTTTGTCTATTTCCTTAAAATTATTATTATTATTTTTTACCAGAAAATTTTATCTGACTAAATAAAATTTAAAAATAAAAATAAATTATGATTTGTTTTTTTGGTGGTTCTTAACTTTTACACAATACTATATATATATATATATATATATATATATATATATATATATATATATATATATATATATATATATATATATATATATACATATATATATATAGATATATATATATATATATATATATATATATGATATATATATATATATATATATATATATATATATATATATATATATATTTATATATATGTATATTACCTCAACCAACAGGACATTTTTGTTTAAACGTGGGTATAAAAGTTGTGATTAAATAATTTTATGGTTAAAATCTAGTAATAATTTTATGGTTAAAATCTAGATATAATTTAGACAAGTAATAATAATGTTAAATTGACTAACCCTTTATTTTGGAGATGGTAAAAATTTCAAAACTCTAAAGTCAAACATATCTTGAACCTCCATTTATAAAGTTATATAGAATTATTTTTTTTATGAAAAAATTCTTATAAAACATATATTAAATACCTGCATTTAGAGTTTAGCACAATGCCATAAAAGTAAATCAGTATTGAAATAAAAAATAATCATGTCTACGCTTTAAATGTTAATATTATTTTCCGGTAAAGTTTGGCTGGAAAATTTGATACAAAGTTAACTGAGGAAATATACAGTTATTCAAAAAATTTCTATATTTTGTATATATATACATATATAAATAACTATTATTTCTATAATACTAGCAAAAAGCAACCCGTAATACGGGTTATGGTCGGTCTGTTATATAATTAATTTATAGTGGCTGTTTTCCACAATTTAAAGTTGCGAATTCTTGAGAAGTTTTTTATTTAAAATATATATAGATGAAATACATTAGTTTCTGTGTATATTATGGTGTGGCTATCCAGGATTTTTCGTATTTTCCTCATAATAAGGCAATAAATTAAAGTTTTAGATTTTTTTTGATGCATGATACTCAAATTATGCCCTGTGTGACAGGATTTGATTTTTTACAAAGGTATGATGCCGGATGCACCAACCAAGCTAGAGCCCTGTCTTGTTAAATATGGTTTTTTATTTTGGTTTAATTTTAAATATGGTTTAAAAATCAAGTATTTGATGCATCGTTCAATGTATGGCAAGGTATTTTTTCAATATTAATTTTATCAGAAATGAGGATAATCGTTTTTTAAATTATTACTTGAAATATGTCTTGTTAAAGGAGGTTCATTAACGCTAAGATATTGCCGACTATTCATATCTATGTATTCTTCGCCATTATAGTTTAGATTTGGCAATTTAAATGGTTGAATAGTACTCTGATTATCATATGGTTCTCTGCAAATTACAATTCGTTTTGTTATGCGCATTTATTGCTGGATGAGAGAAATAGGCATTTTCTTTATAATATTGGATCGATAATAGTCTTCAGTAGCCATATTCACGTCTCCGTTAAACCCTGCGTTAAGCTAACGGCTGAGTTAAAATTTAACTGCAGTTTTAACACTAGCGTTAAACAAAATTCTTATTCGTGCGTCTTCCGTTCAGTTAAAATAAAGTTAACAGAAGATAGGTAACGGTAAAATCTAATTCTGCTAGTTAAAACCGAAAACGGAGAAATTTTCTAAAATATTAAAAACGGTATCGGAACAAAATAATATGTTGAATTTTTCTCATCAATAACAGCTAAATAAACTGTTTATTATTTGTTTTACCCTCAACAATTAAATTTAGTTTTGGCTGAATAAGTTATATTATATACCATATAATATTCAAGTAATTAAATCTTTAATCGTAAAATCGCTAATTTATTTTAATTAGACATTATACTTTGTTGACAACATGTAAACAATATTGCTGTATTATCACATAAAATACTCAAATCGCCACTTTTTAGGATTTTTTAAAAGTTTAAGTAAATAAAAACCTAATAAGTTATCCCAATATAATATCCCAATTTAAGTTGACGAACTTAGCAACTTTGTCGATTTTGATAAAGTAATAAAAGAATCTACCGATATACGGATATATATATATGTGTGTGTGTTTGTGTTTATATATATATATATATATATATATATATATATATATATATATATATATATATATATATATATATATATATATATATATATATATATATATATATATATATATATATATATATATATATATATATCGTGGTTGTCGAGCAAAAACTTGTTTTCATGACGGCACTTAGATATTCTTTCTATTTTTTTGTTTAATAATTTATGCATATCTTTGCATAATATTATGCAAAGTTTTTCATGAAGGCAAAGCAAGCATTTTTTTGTTACGTTGCTGTAGGCGGAGACTTGTTTAATTATTGACTTTGGGTGTTATTTTTAAGTTTTCTTTTATCTACCATATATGCTCTAAATGGGTGGTTAAATTTTTCATCTTTTGGTTGTGAATGAGTGCTTGTGGTTGTGAATGAGTGCTTGTGGTTAGCCCATCTTTTCTTCCATTCACCTTCTGCTAGGCCAATATCTACTTTTTCGGGATTGTTAGGGGTGATACTATACATTTATAAATAACGTTTTTTTGGCTTAACACCTTCCTGTTATAGGGTAGTTTTCTTTAATTATGCAATTGCAGGGTGGGTATTCTTTTGGTCTTTTTGAACTGATTATCTTGTTGTGGCTCTTTATAATTCTTTTGATATTTTTGTTGTAGCTGTATCTCACTTTAATGGTGTTTCGAATAGTTTACTTAGGGGGTAGGGTATTGGAAAATATTTGTCAATTAAGTTTAGGAAGATATACCCGATATTGGTAGAAACGCTTTTAATATAAAACCGTATCCCAAGCAGCACAACTTAGTAGGCCCAACGTATTTCTGATTGTTGGGCCAACAAGGCGTTATGGTAGGCCGTAAGTTGGCGTCGTACTGGCATATGGTTGGCTGCCCATCGTGCCTACGTTGGCGTAACATACACTTAATATTGTTGGTGCAACG